TTTAAGACTTCTTTTTTCCTTTTCTTTTTTGCATGTTTTTTATCCTACCTCTTTTCTCATCCAAGCCGTTTTCGTCATAACATGGTGGTTGAGGGGTTGTACTGGTGATTCCCACCCCTAACCACATCTTGTGCTGTCTGTGTGTATAGCTTAGGGATGAAGCACAGGCATGCTTCATTTTACGTACACCTCTGCAGTTTTCGTACATATGCAACACTACAATCTTCTTGATAGGGCTTGTACTGCCCGTACTGGTCTTTACCCTTTACTGATTTGGCCGTTGTTCCTGTCCGTGAGCTCCTTAGCACCAAGAAAAAATGAGGTTACAGGTAACATGTCAACAATGCTCTTACAGACCAGGTACAGGTGAGGGCATGTTACCTGTAACCTGATGTTTTCGAGTATTATGTATGAGAAGACATTTTATGATGCAGTCTCTGTGTTTCATCCCTTAGCTGTAAACACAGATCGAACTATGCATGCTGGGTAGGAGCGGAAATCATCAGTGCAGCCTCCTACCCGCCATGTACTGAACAGCCATGTAACAAATAATTTGCAAGACGGATATGTGAGAGAAGAAAACTGAGAAATACTAAGCGGAATAAAACTCAGAAGCGAACTGCAGCAAAATCTTCCGACCTCCAGCGATTTTTTCGTCCCGATGTGATGAGTATCAAAGCATGTAATTTTGTTGTAATTTTTAATAGTATGTTTCAACGTGTTCATCGTGTGCAGCCGTGGTGTTGCGTTTCGTCCGTCGGCCAGCCATCCAGAATTTCGGTTTTATTGTTAATGTGCTTTGTTTGATAAACCTGTATTTTTTTCTCTCAGTGTCTCTAACGGGAACAGCGAGCATCAGTTTCGTTCCCTTCGTCCGTCTTAACGCCAAAATCATCGTCCAAATCACGCTTAAAGCTTGTATTTGTTATTATACCTGACTGTAGTGTGCCTTCATCGTATTTTGCGATTCGTATTTTTTGTGATTCTCTTGAAAGAATTTTTGCAAATCTTTTGTTAAATTTTGCGCTGTTCCGATTGTCTTTTGCATCGTTTAGTTCAACTTTTTTTTTTCCAAGATGAATGATGGTGGTGTCTTCACCAATGAAAAATGGTCCATAATTTTTTCCTTTTGCTGTGATAGATGACATATGCGGCATTCAGATACTGGACAACCAACTACAAAAAACATTAAACGAAATTTGTTGCTTCCTACGCCAAGTCGGGGTTTAGATGCCAACAGATAAAAAAAATTTGAAATGAAAGCGGTGTCTGCGATCGCAGACAGTGGTTTTTCAAACAGGTCCAATAGCATTCCCTGATATCTCTTAAAGTCATCAGGAAATAAATTTGGAATTTCGGTGACGGAATGGATTTTTGTTTTTCTTGGGCAAGTTTTTGGTTATTTGATGTTAAGTAACGCTAACTGTTAGGGTGTGGGCCATTTTTTCGAATTTACAGTTGGGAAGTAGCCTATTTTTTGTTTCGTTTTGCTAGCAGTTTTGGAGATTGTAATAATGATATATATATATATATATATATATGTATACGTATATACATATATGTATATATAAAATGTATATTTAAAAGGAAAAACTGATCAATGGAACATGGGTATTCGGGCGAGCAAGTTCAGCACCAAAACTGGGTGTGTCAGTGCGGCGGCTTTGGTGTTAAGAATGTATGAAATTTAATTATACGACTTAATGGATCGAAACATTCCAATCCAGTGTTCCCTTGTTCAGTTTCTGTTTATCATTATAATTTTTTTGTTTACTATAAATTAAGCCATAATCTTGTAAGGGAATGTGCCATATAAATTAAAAAAAAAACCTGCATGAGCCAAAACAAGGAAGAGGAGGGGAGCGAGGAGAGAAGAGGAGTCATGACTGATATTAAGACATTTTTAGTTCACTTTTCTAAAAAATCCCAAAAAAAGGCTTCCATCATGAACGTTGGTAATCGATACTTGCTGTTGGTAATCACTTGCATTTGCCCTCCCCTTTCACTGTTTATGGAGCGCAAAACAGGAAGGGGGTTTGATTTTTGATCAAATTTGAAGCAGACTGGTGAGGGCAAGCAAAAGAAAAATTTCCATGTCGCGGCAGTAAATGGGAACTTGTATGTTGTGCATGTTGCGTTTTGTTTTTATCGCTACGATGTTGTTTTGTTTCATTTTCCGTTGTACTGAAACTGGGATGTGATGGAATTTGTATAGCTAAATAAAATTTATGTGTTTTTGTGGCTCAAAATTTTCTGCCCTTCCATGGTGTTATCTATTACTATTATGTGGGTGGAAAGTGTCCATCCACATTGATCCACTAATTGTCCGAATAGCCAGTATGTAGTTAAATTTTCAGGATTCTTTAGAACGGTGGGATTACCGCGATTCCCGAAAATGTCTTGTTGTACTTGACACTTATTCCAATCCCTTATCTGCTATTGTTCTATTTTATAGGATTAGCTTGAAAATGCGCTAAGAGTGACAGCTCAGTGAATGTAGAAGGTGGTTTTTGAACAATCGGCCCACATTAAGTGTTCTCTTTTTCGGATTTTGAGTTTTGTTGTATGATATGTGACACAAGTGTTTTTCAAATAAGGTCAAGGGCTTGACGAAAACCTCGGGAAGTAACTGGAGAATAGACTTTAATTTCAATTTAAAGCCAGGAGCGAATAACGATTTGATGGCCGGTCTTTGGTTATTAATTTCGTGTACAGTTAAAAATTTTCATTTTTTAATTTTTTCCTGACTTTTGCTTTAGTTTGTATAAATTTTAGGCAAAATATAGAGTAACTTGAGAATTGATTTTAATTTCGTGGTCTATGGGGGCTTTGTGTGTTCAATTTCAGTTTTCTAGCTTCCACAACTCCTGAAACTTATGGTCAGGCAGACTGACGAATAAGATGCAAATCTCGCAACAATCGTTTTTATAGTGCAAAAATGCATAAATAGGAAGATGTATGTGAAAAGGGATGCAAAAGTAAGTGTATAAAAATGTTATAAATTTTATATCTTCCTAAATTTCTAATCGGTAGAGTTCCACATCATGATCTAGATTTCGGCACGATGTGATGGTGTATATCAAGTACGTCTCGGAACCCGACCGAAAAAGCCCCACCAAAGTTTTTTTGCCCTAAGAACCACTGAGCTAACAATTTTTTCAGGAGACTGACTGGAAGTCCGATTCGCAAACAGGCTGACCATCAGGCGAAGCAGCACTGATAAAGGCGACTGGAAAAGTCGCTACCTGCATAGTTGGAGAGCTAGACCATGAATTGTAGTGATCAACTGCAAATTCCCATGACGATTAAATAGTCCATTCTCATTTTAGAATGCGACCTCAGGCAACTCAATCCAAAGTGCAACCAAACCAAACGTTTCACCACCCGTAAAGCCTAGTACATACTACGGAGTGTAGCCCCATTCAAAGGGTTTTGGGTGAACGAATCATTTGGATAGTTACACGGTGTTATAGGATAGATACACAGTGTTATAGAATAAACGAGAAGTACATTTAGTTAACCTATTTTAATGGTTTTCCATTTCTTTTGGTGTGTTTCATGGATGGATGGATTAGATATACAATGGATATGCTTTAGACACACACAGCGCTTGCTTCCTCAGACTATGGTGTCCAGGACGGAAATGCCCACTTTGTGTATGCTTTCCTAGTCGAAGGAGGGTCGTTTACCCCCCTCCGTAATTGTCATCGATTGCAAACACTGTGGAAGGGATACAATCGTGCGCCATCATTCTCTTCATTTCTTTGTCGTTGAGATTTCTGAAATCGTTCTAGTTTTTCATAGTCTTCTGTTTTAAATTTCACGATTGCTTATCCCTGCAAATTAATATTCGCGTACTTTGACACGGAAGCGAATGCTTACTATGGAGATGTTTAGTGTGGTAACACAAACGAACTCGGAGATATCAAGCAAAGCCAGTAATCTGGCTCGCCCGACCAAAAATGACATCAGAGCATGTCACTGAAGAATTTCGTCTGAAGCTTCAAGCTAGGAAAATTCGAAATTTTAGTTGAATGGCCTGAAATCAGATCATCAAATTTACGACACTAAAATTTTTAGATCGTAAGGCGAATTTTTCACATTCCGAATAGAAATCTTTGATCTTATTCCAATAAATATTTGATCCAATAAATTTTTGATAAAAAATTGTGGAAAATTTGATTTTTTCCGAATACTTGGTACAAAAATTTGGTCTTCTGGCACAAAGATTAATGAGTGACCTCTTAGCTTTCAATTTTAGTATTTCCTGACCTGAGATCACGAATCACCTTGTTTTAGATAATATCTATTCCTTGAATAGCGCTTATAATTTTGCTTGAACTTAATCAGTAACTTAGCATCTGATATTAAATAAATATCCACTGCATATCAGCTGTTGCCCAAAAAAAGCCATGAATCCCCAAAATTTTGACGCTTTCCATCAACTGAAGACAAATTAAGTCTTGCACACGCTGGCTCATTTACTCCGCTAGACAGTAGCATGAACTTATTGAAAAAACTTAACTTCTCCGGTCTTTTGCTCCTCATAATTTCGTTTTTGTGTGTCCCTTTTTCACAATTCATTTTCTGCCTAATAACTTTTCAGCTTTCCTGACTAAAGAGGATGCTTTCGCTGATTTATGAGCCATATTAGCCCTTTTCTTTTTCCCTCTCAACGCTGCCAAATTTTCCGTATTGCCTACACT